CACAGGTTTGTGGACGGTGACATGACTAATCCGGATCTCGAAGAATATGGTACGCATTTAGAGGCTGCCAATCAAGATATGGATTTACAATTGCCAATAATATACTTCGATGTTGACCTCTAAGGAGAAGTATATGAACCAAAAATGAAACAGAGAGGTATATGGAGAGAGAATGAAACATGAGAGATGTGAGAGAATGGTGGGGTAAGGAGAAAGGTTTACCGCGTGGGACATATATAGACAGAGACACGACATTGTAAATACCGCGTCTAGAAGTGGCAAGTTCAGTTCCATTTTTAAGGTCTGACGCGTTACATCGAAGACCACGATTTGGACCAGTCAAACACGTCTGGTGCAGAGGCGTGTCTTGTAGTCTCTGACACCATTGAACGCGACAAAATTAATAACACGTCTTTGTTAGGTCAAACACACCAATGACACAACAGCGTTTAAGGACCTTGTTTTACGTGTAACTTGACATCTAATGTCCCATGTCTTAATGCAGTGACAGATAAAACGTATAATTTTACATTAGTATGGTAATAAGTTTAACGAGGAGCTTAATCTAGTCAAACTTTTTATATTTTGAACTAATATGGTCAAAAGCCCCCGATGCCTTATGACATTGTTAAATTACAGGATATTATTAAACTCATGTGATTTCTATATTGTTTCAGTTTTTTTTTTTAACTTTTGTGATCTAAAATTGATTTCACTCTATTTATCTTTTATTCTCCAATTGGTATTGCTTTTTAATTTTCTTGTTGTCACCAGCTTTTCTTGATTTCTACTATGATTTAATTAAATGCTTTTTTATGTTCAATTATTGAATAATATTGTTGTATTTATGTAAGGTAGTCTCTATTGTGTGCAAAAAAGAATTATGCAAATTATGTAAAAAAAAAATATGCAAATTAATATGTATAACATTTGTTTATTTTTTATAAATTTTTAAATAAATTTTTAACATATTTTTCATTTCAAGTAGAGTTTTGAAGTTTTTTTAATTATTTTATCGACAATAAATAAATAATAAAAAGAAAGAAAGAATACTCACCATTTGAACCAAATATATACATTTTGCATCATTTCCAACAAAGTCAGAAAAGTTTTTTTTCCAATATAGTGATAGTAATAAATAAAACTTGTAATTATATCAATTATTTGAAGAAAAAAAAACATTTTTTTGTTATTTATAATATATTAAACCTTTTTTTTTGTTATCCCTTACATCACACGCGTATTAAGCTATTTTAATTTGTTATATTGAGTTTTCTTTTTGTGAAAAATAAAGTCTACGAGTCAGTATAGTTGGAAGAAATTAAGTTAAAGTTAAATAAAAACAACCTCAAATTTAAACACGGGATCAAGTAAGTTTTAAAAATTTCTGATGTGTTTTTTGTTTTTGTTTTGATAAATCACATATATTCTTAACGGGGACAATTCTGCTCCAGTCAAGAACATTCACATGATATATACTTAATAGTTCAAATAACATAAGCAAGGTATCCAAAAATAAAATAAAATAACATAAGCAAAATTCTTCTTTTAAATTGTTTATATTATTTTACGAGGAGGAATATTCTCACTACCAAAATTTTCCACTACCAATTTACTACCTATCTAATCAACATTAGATTAACATTTTCTCTCTCTTCAAAAACTTTTTAAAATTCTCTCTCTTTGATCCATGGGTGATGTGATGGGTAGTAAGTTAGTAGTAAAAAATTCTGGTAGTTAGAATATCCTCACCCTTATTTTACATAAAACTATAGTTTGTGTGTCAAATGAGTTTGTTCATAAGGAAAAACATTTCTTCGGCAACTTGAGATAAATTTATCTCCGGCCACCCCAAAATTACGTCGTTTTATTTATTTATTTCCTTATATTTATTGATTCACCTTTGAATGGTTATGATTCCCTTTTTCTCTCTCTTCCTTTATCACCATTGATCCGTCTTTGTACGGTTATAATTTAGTAGCCGGAGATAAAATTATCTCAAGCAACTTGAGAAATGATAAGCCCTTGTTGCTATAGGCCATATAATATTAATGTTTCGGGCGCAAGGATGGTGAAAACTTAGTTTGATTCGGGTTTTTCTTTTTGGACTATACAATTTTATTTTTTTTGAGATATTTCAATCGCTTCATTGTTTCGTAACTAATTCGATTCGGAGCGGGTCTCGGGATTAAGCTTTAAACTCCTTCGATGGACAATATTAAGAAAGATTGAATACATACTCTCATCCCCACCTGTTTAATTTTTTAACACCAACTGAGTTATCATCATTTGATTCGATTATATAATTTAAGTGGGAACAAAATGATCAATTTTGTATAAGGAATTTTTTTAGCCAATTCGGTTGGGCCAATGCCCTACCTTTCGAGTCTTGAAGGATTGACCCAACGAGCTTGGCCGACATTGGCAGCCACAGTACTGTCTCCACTCTCCACAATTGACAATACCAATTTTGTTACTTGTTGAACATAAATGCAACTTTTTCAAGTGACAATGATGGATTACATTTCATTGACATCGCTTGAAGGATTCACATGTATAATTTCTGTAATACAAAGTTTGGAATCATTAAAAAATAAAATTAATTTGAATTTAATTGAATTTGTATTGGAGTAGAGGTTTGCTATGATGGAGCAAAGGGAAATATGTGAGTAGGCAAGGAAGAGGATTTGTATGCAAGGTGCATTTCCTTATATTATTTTGTTATTTACTCTATTTCATAAGCTTTTAGCGTCGTAATAATTTGTATTTTGAAAGAAGAGGGTAATATAAATGCCATTCCTTTGGCTTTTTCTTTCTTTATCCAAGGTCAACACCCTATGAGTCATTTCTTTAATATTGAGATCTTGTCTAATTTTTTTTATACAAGTGAGAATTAAACATATAACCTAATACAATTTACTTAAATTTTTTATCACTAGATCAATTTCGATGGCTTCTAAAAGTATGAAAATATTGGTAATATTCTCAAAGTAAAATTGATAAATTATTAGAGGGTGCTCAGAGGGATAAGAGATCTTTGATGTATTAAACTTCTTGTCTTATATGTTATTGTTTCTCTTTATGCTTCTAGAGGATGTCTTTTCTTTTATCTTGTACATTTCTTCCTTCACTTCACTTTAAATGAGTGTTTGGTATAGGAGATATTTTTTTTTACCAGAAAAAAAAGATTTCTTAAAATATGGTGGGAAATTTTTTTTCCCAAAAAAATAGCGAAAAAGTGTTTGGTATGCCAAAATTTAACAGGAAAAATTAGGTTACTTTTAGTAATAGTATGTTTAGTTGATGATAAAATATTGAAGAAAATTTCAACAAAAATCACCAAATTACCTATAATTTTTTAATATTGTATCTCTGTCATTAAATACAAGAGGGCATTTTAGTCTCAAATCATTAAAATCAGAATATAAGTACATGGGAAAAAATAATACTATGGGATGGGTAGAATTTTTTTTTTTACCAGTGTTTAGTTTAAATTTGGATTGACAGACAAAATTTTTTGCTAGGAATTTTTTATTATTCCTGATATCAAATATGGTTAAATAAACATTTTCCACCCCACTTTTTCATCATTCTGAACAAAATACTTATACCAAACACTCCAACGTATGGTTTTTGTCATTTGCTATGATAGAAGGCTATATATATGTATAGGTAGATGACATCTTCCCTTTCATTGTGGTGCTCTTTTTAGCGACACAATAATATGCTATTCGTTTTCGAATAATATTTCTTTTGTCATTTGATGTTATACAAGGCTATTATTATGTACACATCTTCCTTTTGATTGTGGTGCTCTTTTTATTGACTCAATAATATGCTATCTGTTTTCAGATAATATTTCTTTTGAATGAAAAGTATTCCAGCTGTCATTATGAAAAATATAAATCAAGATTCCTAACCTAACCTTACGGACTTATGCCTTCATACGCTTCTGCAGCTGTCTTCACACGCAGAGCAGAAAATAATGAGCTCATGTACCCAAGACAAAAAGGCCATCATTCCCAAGGATTATAAAAGATAAACCATTGAAATTTTTAAAGATTCTGTAATTACAATAATTGAGTTTTTTGTCCACGTATTAAATTACTTACAGCAAAAACACAGTAAAGAGAAACACGTTAAGGTGCAATGATGATGTGAGAAATTCAATTCTCCAGGAACCTACCGATCACAATTTTTGTTACCAAAAAATTTAGCCAAAAAGACTTCGCATAAGATTGAAAGAAATTGGAGGGCAAGAGTTACAAAACATGGTTAGTTACCACCGACTAAAGGTGTAAATACATTAGGTTATTTGATTTAAATAGATTGAATTTGTATAAAAAATCTTAAGTCTGACATAACTTGTTAATCTGTATAGGTTCAAATTATAAATCTGACTTGATCTATGTTTAAAAAATAAATTTTTTAACCTAGATCTGTTAACCTGTTTAAACCTATTAAACATCTAATAATTAAAAAATAACTAAAATAATATTACTTTATTATTCAAAATTATTAAAATAATAATTTTATTTAAAATAAATAATATAATATAGACCAACTGTAGATTTATAAGCTCGACATGTATAAAAAAAACTTACGACTTGCTTCATAAATAGTTTTTTTTTTAAAGTCCAAACCTGTTCCATTTGACTATTTATAATAGACTAAACCTGACCTAATATAGATTAAATTGTATACTCCTGTAGACCGACCTAGCCCGTTTACACTCGACCATCCGTCACAATTATTATTTTCAGAGCTCAAGCAATACCCCACCATTGTTGGGGGAATCCAAACGTAGCAAACATGTCTATCGAAGAATGAGTACTCCCGCTCCAACGGTGACAAAGAAACACACAGCCATTGTTGTATCATTGTCATCCATCACAAGTGGGACTCATCAATCAGTTAAAATTCTAGCTGTCCAACACAATGCATCCATGAATGACACTATAATTAAAATGAGACGGCAACACTGCACAATAAGAGCTAGTTATCTAATCATTGATCATTTGACTGTACAAAAAAATTGTACACCAATTCGTTAAGGCTTCCCTCGAGAAACCTCATATAACAAGATGGGTAGTTGGATATTCAAATCTGCTTTGAACTACATGAGATAGAAACACAAATTCTCCTCCATCATGACTCAATCTAAGGCTAAGTAGAACGAATTTGGTCTACCAGATGATCTGCCAATAGAACCAGGATCTCTATCAGCCAAGACTATTGAGCCATCATTCATTCTGAGGAGAAACTCAAATTATCAATGGCAATGGACAGATCAGATTCCATCACATTATCACACTCCTTTTGTTGAGGATCATCCTTGATGGCATTCTCTTCCTTCCCTTCTGCTGCAGCCACACACTCCTGAAATCTGAAGCAATTGATGAGGTGGTCATTTGTTAACCCAGCAACCTGCATGAAGGAGTATACGACCGTGGGACCCACACCACGGAAACCTCTTCTCACCATGTCTTTGCTAATAACATCGGCTTTTGGTGTTTTTGCAGGAACTTGTCGAGGATATCGGAATCTGCTAACTATAGGCTTGTGGTTCACAAAACTCCATATATACTTGTCAAATGACCCAAACTCATCTATGACCTGGCATCAGTAAAACCTACAAAAAGTTAGCTGCAAAGATAATCATAGCCATGGTGCAAATTGTGCAAACTGCAATTATGGCAGTTCAGCAAAAAAGGGCGTTGTAGTGTTTAATGTTTGGAAAAGTACCAAGACTGATAGGTGACTTAGGACGCACCAGCTAAGCATGCTGGCAGGTTAAAGGATCCAAATAATTAGGTTGCATATCACTGTTGCAAATTAGATTACAAGAAGCTTAGGCTGTACGGCAGATTTATTCATGGTTTATCCCATATGGGTCATTCAAATTGAATAAGGGTCAGGACCACAACCCAATTACCTTTATGAGTTAGAATACTATACCCAAGATCACAGAAAAGCAACTCAAATCATTTTTAAAAAAGGGACCAACATGTGTTAATAATCAAGACAGAAATGAATTATCCTGCTTGCATAGTTGTTTCTCAATCCAGCATTTAAGTTGAAGTGGCTTCACTATTTTGTCAAATTCAACAGTCATATAAACTTTTGTGCAGTATGTGAAAAATTAGAGTGTTTAAGTAAGATCATTCATTTCTACATAGGCAATTAATACTTTCCATTTTTTTTTTTTTGAAAAATATTAGGCTTGCTTTTCTTTTAGGTAATTTTCCCAAAGATCAATGCATACAATAAAGCCATAGCTTTTTATTTTAAAATGCCTCCAAACTACCAAAACATTAAGTAATCAACTTCTTTCCAAATTAGCATATCCTAATAAGGACAAGCACGCAGGAACCTCAGGATTCCACTTTATTCATATATTACGAATAAGGTAGTATGAAGTACCCACCTAGATCAGCTAGTAAAATCACTTATTCCCTGGACACGTTATTAAATCCAGATATTGCCAATATAGAACAAAGGATTTAGGCAATGACAGTGAAGTATCACCAAGCCTGTATCCCATGGTTCTCTTGGCTTCCTATGGTCCAGCAATTAATAAGCAATTATGATTTAACCCAAGAGTTTGCATATTCCATTATGAAGGTTGCAAAAGTCAAGAGAAAACTAATCTACCTTCGATATTTGGCGTGCATTCTCAATTATAGCACGCAATTTAAGGTCAGAAAGTAAGGAGTTTGCAGTGGTTCCTGGTGCCATTATCTTCCTCTCATTCAATTTTGAGACAGCAACTGGATCAAAGTCTGCAAAAACTTCCCTGAAAATAACCTTGTTAACAAAAATAATGTGAACAAAGTCAAAGAGAAAATTGGCAACTGCTGAGGCCTGATGTTGAAGCCAACCAGTAGAGATTTGAAGTTAAGAATAAAAAATAATTAAAAAAATCTAAATAAAATAAATTCAAAACTTCTTCATAGATAATACCTAAAAATGTGCCTCTTGCTTAGAATGGCTGGCCAAGCGAGTTCAGACAGAGCGCTCGATAGAACAAGAAGTTCAAATAGTTTCCTACATGAGATAAAAGTGTCAAACACAATCTAACAGAAGAAGGTACCTTCATTTCTCCAATCAACATAACAAGATTATTTTTTGTGTATCACATACTTGTCATCATGTACTGGAACTCCCCATTCTTCATCGTGGAAAGTAGCATAACATGGTTCTAGTACAACCGGTAAACTTAGTCAGGAAACAAAACTTTAAAATAACCAATGTAGTTCAGCACTTAAAACTCTAAATAAGTATTATAGAGTATATTCTAGGAAAGGTATGACTTGCGTCCATTCATCTCTATTTCCACCAAACTATATCAGGTCCATACCATGTATTCACTTGGAATTCACAATTTTCTCTTCAACAGTAAAAAACATCAACTATAATCCATGAAAAAAAGGCACAAATCCACTGCGTGTTCTACTATATTTTCGCTAAAGACGCATCAACTATCTTAAAATGAAAAACCAGAGTTCATTCTCACTTGAAATTAATTTGTGTACAAAAGCATACAATGAAATCCAAATGGAGTTATATATTTAAAGTAAAATCTCAATCTTCAAGAAATGAAATTTATCCTGAAGTTAAATGAAAATCATACAATTCGCAATATGTCAATATCAGCTCAAATGCATTTTAAAATACTGAATAAGACCAGAAGATTGAAATTAACTACAATGTACATAATCGTGAAAGCAATTAAGCATCATTCAAAAGTATCATGAACTGAATTATCCGCCAAAAGGCTTATAGTAAAACCAACTTATCATTAAAGACACATAATTATTTTAAAAATCAGTATAACATGTCTGTTTAAGATTTTAGGGAAAGTGAAAGAAGAAGAACGAACCAGTATTAGGAGTTACCCAAGCACACCTCTTCTTGGATTGTGAACCATCAGGAGGAGGTTCTAACACACCATCAGAAGCAACACTTCTTGGCTTTGACACGGAGCGCTTCCTTCTACTACCTAAGCTAGTAGACCGAGTCAATCTTCCAGTAGAAGCTCGGCTATGAAATGAGTCAGTGGAAGCATCAGAAGAACAAGAAGCATTCAGAGACAAATTAGAATGCAACAACTGCTCATGCCTGCGTAGCACTGAAGGAACACTGACAGAATGTGACTGATGAGGAGAAGTAGAGGAAGTGACAACTGAAGACAATTCATAGGATTTCTTCTCTTGAGTTGAAGCAACCTCGTTGCCCAATTTCTCAGCCTTCCTCAGTGGCTTTGAAGCTTGTTTCCGAGAACTCAAAGACCCTGTCTTGTTACCAGCTGGTCCAAGCACAGACCTTGTCTCTGAGTCACCAACATTCATAGACCTCAATCTAGGAGCTCCTGACATTTACACAAATCTCTTTGGTTTCACAAGCCACCAAACACAACCCCCCTTGGAACTTTTCTACCTCACGATTCAACCTTAAGCTCTAAGTATCCATCAGCTACCCATAAAAATTCACTGAAAACCCTCACTCGTTTATCAGTTGGAAGCTCAAGAATCAATAGAAACCAGGATCAATATCAAACTTTTAGCTAACACCTGATTGATGCACAATGATGTGACCCCCAGAACAGATCTCAGATTTTTTTCCTCTAAAAAGCACTATGTATAACTCAAATCACCCAACTACACACTCAGAGACAACCAAAACCTGCAATTTGAGAACCATTAAGACACCAAACTCCCATTATTCTCAAAACCCAGAAAAGCTCGAAGCTGATAGGGATCGAATTCAGCAAGATGGGTTGACCTATCTGAGCAAAGTTAGGGTTTAAGCGGAGTTGCATTGTGTAGTCGTGATGAGTTTTGAAATGAGCTTGGGAAAGCTGAGATTCCATTCTGCATTGCGGAAAAAGAAAGTGCTCAGCACTGCAACCTCAAAAATCTGGTGCTTTCAAACTGTGGGTTGCAGTGCTCATGCTTCTTTTCTCCTCCCAGAAAATAGCAAAGAAATTTTCCGGGAAAATGGGTGTTCTTTTAGAGTGAGAAATAACAGAAACTTTGAAGATTGTAGAGAGAGAGAGAGAGAAATTGGGGTTTGATTTGATCGAACAAACAAAGAAACGAAGGTTTAAGTATAACTAAAAAAAAAATTGAGGTAGAAGAAGTGAGAGAATCAAAGAGTGAAATGAAAGAGTGAAAATGAAAAAAATAGAAAAAGAAAAGGTTGGGGTTAACCTGTAAATCCGGTTTTTGCACTACTATTTTACCGGTTGTGGCCGGTACACTCTCAATTAATGAATTCAATCAACAATTAAGCACTCAATATTTGTTTCAGAAGCAAACGGGAAACCATTAGATAAAAAAGTTCTGATTCAAGTGATATTAATTTTTTTTTGGCAGAAAACATAGCGATAAGTAAGGGTGTAAACGGGCTAGGTTGGACTTTGGCCTTCTTGGCCCAACCCTACATAAAAAAAAGTTCAGCTTATCTGGCCTACTGGCCTATCAAAGGCTTTATTTGTAAGCCAAGCCCGGTCTATTTTTAAAAATAAGAAAGCGCGACATGGCCTACAGGCCTTGTAGGCCTACCACTGGAGATACTAAGCAAAGAAAATAATTGTATAGAGCAAAGAAAGTTTCATTCATGAATGCACTAGTACTTCTCATAAGAAAAAAATAACAAACCAGAAAGAATCAACATAATACCTCAGCTTTATAATGTATATCATAGAGGAATAGAGTCAAAGAAATGGAGAAAATAAGAAAAATACAATTATTGGGTGCTGAAATAAAGTCTACAAGAGATTGTCATTCATCTAAAAATTGGGGTTGGTATTGGTACTTTGTCATGCCACATAAAATAAATATTATTTTATTATTTTATTTTTAATAAATTAAATAGGTCAGCCTACAAGGCTTTGGGCCAGGCTTGACAAAATTGACCTACGGCCTATTTGTTAAAAAAGCTTTCTTAAAAGCCTAAGTCTATTCTACTTTTCTGAAAGGCCGGGCCAAGCCAGGCTTAATGTAGGCCGGGCTGGGCCAGCCTGACCCATTTACACCCCTAACGATAAGTTATATTTATAAATTTTTTATTTATAAATTTTTATAAATTATACTGTGTATTATGGATAATACATATTTAAGTAATATATTTTACCCATAATATATAATGTAATTTGTAAGAGTTTATAAATAAAAAATTTGCAAAAATAATCTGCTCAAAAATATATTGCATAATTAAATTTTGTCTTTATTTATTTTATTTAAGAGTATTTTCTTTGGTTATAAATTTTTAATATAAAATAAACTTATTTAGACATGTATAAATTTTTTTGTTAACAACCCATCAATTTTTAAAGCTCTCTTTGCTATTAAAATTAAATTCTGCATAAATTCTATTAAATAATCAGAATCCGCTGTCTATCAATGGAATTAACGTAAGAATCAATTCAAAACATTTAAAACAGGGGAATAATAACATCACTATAAAGAATCAATTTAATCCGGTCTATATGTGTTAAGAAATTTCACACAAAATATGGGAGGTGACGAGGATCGAATACAGGACACCGAGGCTCCGATACTATGTTAGGAATTAATTCAACCCAAAAGTTTAAGTCAGTGGGTGAAAGCTTTTTAATGCTTTATACATTCTCTAATACGACCCCTACACGAGAGTTCACTGGACTTGAAGGGTAGACAATAAATCAGGGCCAGCCTGCATGTGCTAAGAAATTTCACAAAAAAAAAAATTGGGGGGCGATGAGGATCAACCCCACCCGGGACACTGAGAATCTTATACCATGTAAAAAATTAATTCAACCAAAAATTTACAGTGTTGGATGAAATTACATTAATGGTTTTATATATCTCTAACAACTTTTAGCTTTAAAATGGGTTAAATAATTGGTTATGTCATTCGCTAATATAAATTGCATTACATTTCAGACTTTTTTTTTTTTTTTTTTAGAAATATTCCAATCGGTTCATTGCTTCGCAACTAATCTGATTCGGGATAGGTCCAGGATTAAAGCTTTAAACTCCTCCCAAAGGTGGTACCGGAGAGATTCGAACACATGCTCTCACCCTCACCTGCTCAGCTCTCATGCGCCAACTGAGCTACCACCATTTGACATTATATTTCAAACTTTTGATTTAACACATCAATACACAAAAAATAAAATAAAATGGTGGCAGTTTCCAACCCATCACCTATTTATTGTAGGTTATTCAAGTCAGTAACCAAATCTTAATTGTCTGATGCATTAAAAGAGTCAACTGACAAATAATATTAGTTCACCGAATAAATTACACTATGACATGGGCTCTTGCCCTCTTTATCTACTAAAAAAACACGATGACATTAAATAAATTAGAATTCTGGAAAAAAAATAAAAAACACCAATAGTTCATCCAAATGCATGTGTATGTGTTTTTACCCTTTTACCCCCTCCACACAGAGTAATTAATTAAAAAACAGAATAGAATAATTATTTATCCATAGATTATTATTTTTATGTGGAATGTGTTGTTGACACTCGAATAAAAGAAGTCTGAATAGATAAAACAAACGGTAGTCGTACCTTATCTTCCAGCCAAATGGCATAGGCAACACCCAAGTTTAATCAACTACCAAATACCAACTACAAGGACAATCAACCAGAATATTTACCAAAATTGTTTGCTTTCGAAGTAGAGACTGAAAAAACTAATAAAATACATTTTTGGCATGCTGATTTCCCAAGTTCCTCACTGGACGTGATATGGTTATGCAAAGTGTAGAAATATTAGAAGACGAACGCCTACGCTTCGGGTGGAAAGTAAATTTTGATTCAAACCTTTTTCTTTCGTCATCAGAAGCTTCTATCAATAAATGACAGAAGAAAATAGAATAATTGGTCACGTCAAAAGTAAACTTCCAACTCCAGATTTACTTACAATACAATATCAGGAGTTTCGATCATCAAATCATCACTTTATAAAGAATTTTACCTAACCTCAACTGCTGACGTGGCCAGATGCTAAACGCCGATGGAATCTAGCACCACACCATATGAAATGGACGTCCTACTTGGCCCAAGTCCATTCCCATTTAAACCCCTTTGTTCAATTAACAAACATGTTTTAAGCATTATATCAAATCATTTAAGTTGAAGGATAATACTACATTGCTACTTTCACCCTCCATGACCATAAGAATAAAATGATGCCAATAATTCTATATTCGTTCCACTACCAGCAAACTGTTTCAGACAAGTTGAATACTAGCAAATACACACTAATTGTCCCACTAAAAGACTGTGGGGAAGAAAAACAAAGAAACAAGAAGGATTAACATGTGAAGCAGTGAAATTACACGAGACCTGCCAATTAATTTTTATAGTTACAACTGCATAATTTCTTAAAGATGAGCTCAGCAAGGCTTAATTTCAAAACCTATGCTCAGAAGCGTTCGAGCGGACTCCATTGCTTTCTCACCCCCAAGGTCCAAGGCTTCCCCAGTTAGTTCTCCTTCGGTGTCCACTGACCATTGAGTAGAAATTTTCTGGTTTTGCGGTGAGTCAGGTTTCTTTAACTGCAAATTGTTCATGGAGGTAGGTGCTGCAGCAGCCACAAGAGGAGCACTTGGTGGGCCATGTCTTTTCTTGGGCACAGGCATGTCATGGTCATGTACACCCTTGTACGTTATGATGACAGCATTTGAGTTATCTATAGCAGACTCAATATGCTTTCGAACAGGACATCCAGCAGAAGTGCATCTATAGTAATTTCTGAAAATTCAAGCAGTTGATCAGAAGAAAAGGAAAGGATTTCAATTTCAATGACCAAATTGAAGAAAACAAAAAATGGGAATTCAACAACCCGTATAAAGGAAAATAAAGGTTTCAAAGCCTGTTTGCTTACAGTTTAAGAAAACAATTTATAATTTTATAGACAAAAAAGCAGAAAAATCAGGTTGGCAGTTTATTTTTGTTTGGAAACTGTAAAACTAGATCCCAGACTTCTGTTCTTAAGCAGGAACAAGCAATACATGCTGTCTGAAACTCCAGACCAAGTTAAATAAGATTCCAAGACTTGAGAGAAGATGCATCAAGAAACACCTGCCAATTTCTGACTAGAGCTGTAAATAAAATTTCCAGAATGCCACTGACAGTTAAAAAAATTCTTTACAGGAAAATAAATCAGTATTGGTTGATACTTTGGCTTATTATTTACAAGGGGTTGAACATCTAATTCCAAGAGTCCATGACCGATTGGAAAATATAAGGACTCCGAGTAAATATTTATTTTTTGAATAAACTCATCTAATCATTAAATTTTTAGATAAATCCACCTAATAACATTAATTCCGGTTTGCCAATAATGTAGTGAACACTCAAAAGTAATCAGGATTCAGGAGACTAGGAGGAGCTGCTAGTGGTAAGAAGGTGCAGGACAACAGTACCCTAGGGCTAGGCTAATTTTGAATTTCCAACAATTGATTTTACAATGTTGTGCAGCAGTAGGGCTTACAAGAAGACCTCCTGCATTTATGAAAATGACCTTCAATTTCAAAACTAAATTTGTGCCAATGATTACAGAAGAGTTCCTCTATTATGATTTCCCCCCAGAAAATTCACAATATCCTTGATTTAGACAATGGATTTTTCTTTTTGACTGAGTACGCATTTTGCTGTCAACAGATTGCAATTGAAGATAATGCAATTCCATTTTTCTTGTTACTAATACATATCATGAGCTTAGGTTCCTTTGGCAGACAGATAACCTGTCTGAAATGGCATGACTGGGAAATAAGATTCCGTATACATTTTCTTGAAGGTCCAATTAGCTATGTTTTTATGGATACATGCTACCATAATGGATGCAGCATTTCATGAGCCAGTAATAATTTGTGTAAACCATTAATATATAATTTCACACTCAGTACGTGTGTTCTAGCTTAGTTTTCATACAAGAACAGATTTTTACCTAAAAGCTAGCTCTCTTAGCAACCTTTTCAGTATAAGCTATTCTAAGCATAAAATAAGCTAATAAAAAGACAGAAGTGCCTTTATCCTGGATCACTGAATACAACTGTCGAGTTGTTCAAGTTTGAACCTAAACCCAATAGGAAATTGTTTGTGAAGCTCAGCCATCAGGACTCCCAAGAGAGAGAGAGAGAAGACTTGAATATAAACCATTAAAGAGGCCCTCACCTAACAGCTTAAGCTTTTGGTTTGAATTAGTTCTTTACATGGTATTAGAGCCTCGTGTCCCGGGTTCGATCCTCACCGCCCCCCACTTTCTCTTGTGAAATTTTCTTAGCACAGGTAGGTGGGTCTGTGCATTATCCACCCTTCAAGCCCAGTGGGCTCTCATGTGAGGGGCATGTTAGATTATAATATAAACCATTAAAGAGGCCTTCACCTAACAGCTTAAACTTTTGGGTTGAATTAGTTCTTTACAAGAAGAAAGAAAAAAAAAAAGAGGGGCAATATTTTTAATAAAAGGGCACTAGCTTGAAATAAGATATTTGCATCATTCTTTCTTGAAACTACTTACAAGCAAATAAAAACAGCTTGCAACTTTTTTATCGGATTCTAGAATTTTTTATTTAGTTTTTTAGTTTTAAGCACCCATTCAATCTAAATACAACTCAACTTTACCATCTTCGTATAGATACAAACTTGTCAAGGCAAAAATATGAAATTCATGCTAATAATAAATTAAAAAGAAAAGAAAACAGATAGCAAGCAACATATAGGTATGCACCTGGGATGTGGATTCCCCTTCACCATTTTCTGTCCATACTTGCGCCATCGGTATCCATCACCTGATATCCCCACATCGCCTGCTGCATGTACAACAAACTTGGCTTTCTTTCCAGGTTTTACGGCAGAATCCAAGTCCGTTAAGTCACCTTTCTTCATTCTGGTTATCAAATTAAAGGAGATAACATCAAATCATTATATCATGCCACAATTAGAAGAAAATCGGCTTATTATCTATATTTTCTCCATAAAGAATATGAATTCGTATGCAAAAACTTGCCTTCGTTTTGGCTCTGGCTCATTTACAGGTTCTTCCTTCAAAATAACTTTACTATCGTCACTGATATTAGATGAGTTTTGTCGTTTCTTATCAGCACAGCAAGGTGCTTCTTGTAGAGGTTCTTTGGAAGAAATGGATGGATCAGAATCCTGCAGAACTCTGATAGGCAGAGCTCTGATAGGCTTCTCTGGAACACTGTTTTCTACAGTAGGTTCATTGGAAGACACAAACTTACTTTCCCTTATGGAATGAGTCCTCTTGGGGGGATCATGACTGTGTTCACTTTTATAAACAATCTCTGTCATATGACCTGAATGATCACAGCATTCAATTTTCTTAGCACTACAGTCTGAATGAGTACACCTGTAATAGCTTCGAGAACCTGTAGGACTCTTCACTTGCTTCTGACCATACTTTCGCCAGTTGTATCCATCAGATGCTGATGACCTTGGAACAGAAACAGCAGATAAGGTTTTACCACCAGAAGGAACATTTTTTACTACTTCCGGCACATGCATGTCATTAACCTTCGGAGGAGACATTTTCTGTTTTGGTGCAGTTGGACTAGGAACAGATGATAAAGATTGTGTGACAGAAGTTGGTGATAGTTCAGACAGTGGAGTTGAACACATAGACACCTGACGCTGATTTTCTATTGGAGTTGGGGGTTCCTGGACTGCTTCTCTTGCTATAGTTTCCTTTTCAGGAGGTCCAACTGTCTCCTGAGCATGGAATGACCAACTTTAGTGCTAACGAAACTAAATATATGTGGGATGTACAGAACATGCAACTTTTGATGCTTAATTTGAATGCAAAATCATGCTTTGTTTCGGGAATTGTTTATTCAAGAAAAGCAATCAAATGATTACTAGTTCAGTATACCTTGAATCCCACCTGGGAGATGTTAATTGTTCTATGAAATTGAATTTAAGAAGATTAGTTGTGTGTTGCATATTCTTATCATAGTTGCATAATCTACACTGTCCATACACCCGTACACTGTTACACACACCAAAATGCAACTCTCAACCCATCATCAATGCATCTCGGCTGAATCGAGATGGGAAGCCAAATTCCAAAATCAAACTAGTTCTTGTCAAGGACAAGGTACCCCAAAAGCCAAAGCTGTCAAGAGAAGGCCCAAGAATTGTTTACATCTGTAACCTATGAAGCACCGACACTTCAAAAACCCTGACGTGTTGTGTCCGACACTTTCCGACACTCCAACACGAGTTATAGAAATTCAAAAAAAGGTTTAAAGGTTGCGTTGCGTTGAGTTTTTAGTTCCAACTATTAGATTCATTGGATTACGATTACCATTTTATTGAGTTTAATATAAATATTTGGGATATCTTATGTTTCTTTGCAAAATTGATGAATATTATAAGTTTAGTTTCATTTTTTTGTTAAATTATTGAATATTAAATATAATATACACTACATAAATTTAAAATATTATTTAATATCAAAACGTGTCCTAATGTGTCGAAATCTAACATTTTTTAGAATTAACGTGTCGGAGTGTCGTGTCGTATCACATGTCCCGTGTCGGTATCGGTGCTACATAGTCTGTAACACACCCCAGTCACCCCCTCGTACACAAGCCCATATTAAACATGGTTCCATAACACTTGGTAGTTGTACAAAACTTTAGCTTAATTATCAAGAGAAAGGGTATCGTGGATCAAACTACTAGGGGCTCTAATAGAATGTCAAGGAACAATTCTCCGAAAAACTTAAGTTGATCTAAAGTCAAGAATGGTTTATATCTCTTCCAGTTTGTGACTCTGGATATTTCACTACTAGATGCACCATTTGATATGTTCATAGATATTGGTGGTCATAAGCTTTTCAAAATGTATACTCGAAGGCAGAATTAGGTGATGGGTAGTTAATATATTAGATATGCAGTTTTGATTAGGATATTATGTAAATAACCACAAGGGGTGGTTATACAGTTATAGTTAGGATATTATGTAAATAAAGAACCACAAGGGGTGGTTATTGTATGATGCAGGGTGGTTATTATGTCATGTAAACAGTTTATTACAAAATCAATTCTGCTTGGTAGTTATGGGTGGTTACTGACTGCAACAAGGAGACAAGCCTTCCATGTGGAAGGTTAGTTAGTTAGTTATGAAGAAATAGGGCTGAGAATAGATTCTCAGAGAAGGAGAGTTACTCCTTGAAAGGAAAGCCTCTTGTACTCTTGTTATCCAATAAAACTGTTTGCTTAATATTAAGAGCCTGTTTGGCACCTCTTTTTTTCTAAGCTAAAAGCTACTTTTAAGTTAAAGCTAAAAAAAAAGCTAAAAGTTGTTTAATGATTACATAAAAAATTTAGCTTAAAAGTTGTTCATTTCCAAAAAAATTGATACAACTTGAAAAAAGTTCCTCCTTGAAGCTTTTGGTTTTTGACTTTTTTCTTCATTATAAAAAAAAGCTTTTCTTATTATAAGAGCTTTTATAAAAAGCTGTCTACTTATAAGTAGAAGAGAAGCTAAAAAGAAGACCTCCTAAACAAGCACTAAACAGATTTATCTATATGTATTCTACTTTTTCTGTCATTAATTCTGCAAGGAATCCAAAGTTGTAACATCATCACATAGATACTTCATCAATATTAGATACCAGTGTTACAATTCAAAATTGCGCAATGTAAGCCACTGAGATAGGAAAAGTATTCTAAGAATATTCACAAACATCATACAGGAGTTGCATAAAGCTTTAAGTATCAAATTTTTGGAACTAGCCAAATATTAGATGCAGCAAGTACCTCTGATAGGATTTTAGATTAAGTTGTATCCTGTTGTCAGAGTCTGGATATTGCTTCTTATTTTCCTTTAAGTTTCAAGTAATTCCATTCCTCCTTTTTATGGGATCAATCCATCAATATATTTAGCAGGGCGTTATGAACACTGTGTATACAACCCCTTGGTGGTGAGTCAGCATTAGTTAGTTAGTTGGTTAGAGCAGTTAGTGGCATGAATGACATCTATAAAACATAAGGTAAGAGTGTAGAGGAAGCATCTTAAATCTTGGTGTTGAAATATATAGTCCCACATTGGTTGTATGAACAACGAATGTGGAGTTTATAAGGCCTTGGGCACTCCCACCCTTTGAGCTAGCTTTTGGGGTGGTGTATCCCAAGGTTCTTTACATGGTATCAGAGCCTCGCCGCCCCCCACTTTCTCTTGTGGAGTTTCTTAGCGCAGGTAGGCTGGGCCTGTTGCATCATCCACTCTTCAAGCCCAATGGGCTCTCGTGTGAAGGGGCGTGTTGAAATATATAGTCCCACATTGGTTGTATGAACAACGAATGTGGAGTTTAAAAGGCCTTGGGCACTCCCACCCTTTGAGCTAGCTTTTGGGGTGGTGTATCCCAAGGTTCTTTACACTTGGGCATTAGGACAGGGACATGGGAGAGAATCAGAGCCTCTCTAATGTTTTCTGTAAATACTCTTTCTTTGAACGTACTTTCTTTTCAGCTGTAACTTTGTATTTCCAAAACACAGGAATAAAGGAAGAGTTGTTTCAATTTGAGTACTCTTGCATATCTTGTTCTATTTTCTCGATTTGCAACTTTGATCCTTAACAATCGGTATCAAAGCTCTCAATCCGGGAGCTTCGGTATTCAATTTCAAGATGATTCTGGTGTTTGATGGCGTGGAAGCTTATGGATGGCAGATCCAAATGGAGCAATACTTCAAGGTGAAAGGAATGTCGGACACTAAGAAAGTTTCGGAAGCTGCAAAGGGATTGAAAGGATACGATCGCATCCGGTACCCTTTCTGGAGGGGGTCGAATTCAAAGGCAAGTTGGTTGGATTTCTCAAAGGTGATGCTAAAGGAATTTCAACCGGAATACGATCCAGATTTATATCTCTCTGACAAAGAAAGGCCATTTGAAATCAGAAATGGAGAGGGAAGGAAACTTGGCGATAGAAAAGGAGACACCAAAACGGGGGAGTGAAGGTGATGATGAAGAAAAACCGACAAGAGCAGACTGTTTCCATTTCAGAATGGACGGCAGGGAAAAAAAAGAGAGAGAGAAGAAAACCAAGAACTTGAGAGAGAGGATTCAAAGGAAAGGCCTATGGAGGTGGAAGTGATGAGTGCGCAATCGCCATAGTCAGTACGAACCGCAATGGTGGTGGTCAATCCACCCTTGATGCCAAAGCCAGCAGATGAGCACCATCATGACGGGAAGAAAGATAGACGAAGGAAGATGACGCGAGGATGGGTTTCTGCAATTCAATGGCGACCTAGCTTAGAAAGGGAATTTCAGAATTTGGGCCACCTTATCATTATTTGCATTCACCTTGAGGACAAGATGACGCTTTGTTTTTTGGGGGCGGGGAGTATTAATACGACCCCTTGGTGATGAGTCAGCATAGTTAGTTGGTAGGTTAGAGCAGCTAGTGGCATGAATGACATCTATAAAACAGAAGGTAAGAGTGTAGGGGAAGCATCTTAAATCTTGAGCATTAGGACTGGGACATAGGAGAGAATCAAAGCCTTTCTAATGCTCTGACTTTTCCGTAAATACTCTTTCTTTGAATGTATTTTCTTTTTAGCTGTAACTTTGTATTTCCAGAACACAAGAATAAAGGAAGAGTTGTTTCAATCTGAGTCATTTCTTGTTCTATTTTCTTGATATGAGACTTTGATCCTTAACAAACACCTTCTCCAGTAAGTATTTACTTACATTTTTCAGGGAACAGTTATATTTACAACCTATAAAAGTTTACAACCTCTTACAACCCATTTGATTATCCCACAATTATCTCATAATAGCCATCGCTCTCACCCTCTCTCTCTTCCTTCTCTCCCCCCATCCTTCTATGGCTTGTTCTTCATGGTCGAAGTGGTGAACCCAAAGAACTCTAGGGGTCCGCTTCTGGATGCTATTTGACAGAAGGGGAAGTATCACAGTACAAAGAACATGTCCTCATCACTAGATTCCAGTGTTCATTGCATTGCCCTGAGGAAGTTTTCTGGATGATTTAATAGCAGATTAATCAACTGCCTTGTCTCCACTCCCTTGCTTTTTTTTCTCTGATTTATTCAGGCTATTTGTCGTCGTCCACGCCCGCCCTAGAGAGAAAGATGGGAAGAAGGTGCGAGATGTTGAGGCCCAAAAGGAGCGAACCTAAGAGATGGTTAAACTGGAGAGGGAGAAGAAAATATGGGAACCGTCGATTTAGAGTTAATCTAATGGTGATAAAATAGGTTGTAAAAAATTTTGGTTGTAAATATGACCCTCCTTCATCTTTTAAAAAAGGGCCTACCCGGTGCCGAAGCAACCCACACTGTGGGGTCTGGGGAAGGGTATTTCTAGGCAGCCTTTCCCCTGCTTTGCAGAGAGGCTGATTCGAACCCGCGACCACCAGCGCACAATGGAGCGACTCCTTCATCTTTTAATGAGAAAAAAATAGAAAAAGGTGGCCCACAAATTCTCTGCCTAGAATAAGTTTCATACGTCCTAACCCCCAGCTGGAATGATTTATTGTAATGAGTTAGCAATCATTTTAATTCCAATTTCCAAAGTTCTAACATGTAAAGCAGAAATTAATATTTATCTGTGTTGTTCTCAGACTAAACATTCAAAACGAACTATCATCTTGTAGACCCAAAACAAAGAGGAAAGTAAAAGAAAATAGAGGAACACCACGCCACGCCCTAACTTTCAAGCAATTAATGTATTTCAATTTTACAGTTAACATTGACTACAAAAACACCAAGTGCATTAAAACAGTGACACAAAAATTCAATGAGCCTATATATAGCAACTAATAAGAAAGCAACTAAGCAAAACTCTTTAAAAATGGGTCACATTAAAGATTTGTATCCTCTCCTGTTCTTGAATAACAGGATGTGGTCCTATTAGGAACAGAGACACAGTTTTTTTTTTTTTTAATATAAATAGTGGAACCAATTATGGTAGGTCCTTCATGATAAAAATTATGTCTTTCTCTCATCAAGAGAACCGTATCCTGTTATTCTAGAAAAGGAGGGGATCCAAATCCTTTACATTACATACTAAATCCCTAATCAGAATGGATTCCAGAAACCCTTTACGTTAACTTGAGAATTATTTCAGTATCAAACATGGGCCCTCAAATAGAAATTTAGAAGCCAAACGTTCAACCTCGGGTTTCCTAATTCTAACCATACCCTAAGCCAGGGACTCTCAGAATTCAGAAATATTCGAGCAAAGTAGACAAATCCAAGCAGATAAACACAAACCAAGATATACCGCAAATAAAACAAGAATACCAAAAGCCCCCACAAAACTTTAAACGATCGCACCAAAACAAGATTTAAAATCCTGTTCAAAATAATTTAAATTTACTATGATAAATTTAAATCTAAATACTCTCTAACCTTACTTTCGGCTTTGCCGCACGAATTCAGCATGGTAGAACTCTCCTGCAAATCTGTGACATCAACCACACAATTCACTTAAAAAAAAGACTCATTTGGATGAAAAAGAACACACACACACACAACCATTGAAATCGAAGCGTACCGGCAATCCGATGCTGCACAACAAGGGATTCAACCGAAGAGGGAACGGCAGAAGCTAGGGTTTCTAAATTGGACTCTGTAGTAGGTTCATTAGAACTCTGTAACTCGCCGCACTGCGACTCGGTGGCCGGCGGCGATTCACCGACTCGCTCCTTTATCTCTCCGGCTTTTTCTTCTACTTCTTCTCCGTTTCGTTCTGAATCCTCTCCCTTCCGGTGAAGCTCCGGCGCTCCCCCGGGAAGAGCTTCGGAGCTGAGGTGCTCAGCCATAGCGTAGCAGATATAGAGAGAAAGAGAGAGAGAAGTTTCGAGAAGTTTTTATGGTTTTTGAAACCGAAAAACGTTTCGGGTTTTAAGAAACGCCACAGTTTCTGTGTGAGAGAGTTAGCGGGTATGTGTGTGTAAGTGTGCGTGTTGTGTCTCTGTGATTTTACTTTCATTGACTCAGGTGCTTCTATTTCTTTCTCTTCTGCTCTAATACAAGGTAACACACGCCGTCAAATTCTCCGTTCCTCTCTACTATTGCAATTAGCGGTTTCGCTGACGCCGTGAGTGTTCAGTGTTAACTGGTTCTTTGACTCGCCACAGTGAGCCGTTTTTCACTTTTCGGACCATTAATGACACTTGAATCCAATGTGGACTACACAACTATCTCTCTACTTTCTCTTTTTCAAAGGTTTAATAATATTTTATTAACCTGTTCTTCTAAAAAAAATATATATATATATATATATATAGGAAAATAGTAGTATAATGTTGTAGGAAACTATTTTTATGTCATAGACACTTCGATAAGTGTGTTGTTATTTTTCTTTTCTTTTCTGTTTTTTAGTAGTGGATTCCATCATTTTGTGTCTTAACATAAGATATGTTTTCTCCTACACCGTGAGAGTAGACAAGTCCATATATATATATATATATCGAAGAATATTTAATATTTTAATTAACTATTTTTAATTATTTTCAATTGTAACAATAAATGAATGGTCCGCTTGAAAGCTAGAAATAGCATATATTGGGATTTGGGACGAATATAATATATATATATCATAGGAATACTAGTAGTACGACCAAAATAAATGAGTTCCGTAGTTCCTGTATAACTGAAGTTGACGACGAACCTAGTCTAAATATTATAATTTAATATTTTATTTCATTACATAATTTAGAATACTTCATTAAATAGTGGAAGCATAATGCAAAAATTAAATATAAGGAAAAAGAGGCATCAAAGAGAGCATAGGGGTTCCGTTGGTCAAAGGATCGTTTTTATCTAACAGTTTCTTGAAAAAGTTTAAAAAACAAAATTGTGTCAAATAGTTTTGGATGAGTCTTCTTTTTAAGAAAATTTTATTTTGTGTCAAACTGATAAATGACTATAGAGAGGTGTTTTTATAAGCTAGGGTCAAACTGATGCTGCTTTGAAGAGGAACAGTACAATCTGAAACCCAACCATTGGCTATCTTGAAGAATAAAACGACCTTAAAAGGTTGATTCTATCATGCAAGTGCTCTAATAAAGTGGATTCCTGCTGCTAGTGGTTGAATAGAAAATCTAGTATCCCTTCTTAACGAGAATTTAATATATTATTACCCTTTGTAAGAGAATGTGACTATGCCCGCTTTATAAAATATTAATTGCACACTGACTAAAACGGTTCTTAAATAATTTTGATTTATAAAAAAAACTAATTGCATTTGATCAAATTACTCTTTATTAAAGTGCTCAATAATGTTGTGTCTTGAAAACCTTGCCACGGCTTTGTACCTATGTCTCATGTCTCGTTGACAGCATTGGAATTTGCAACGAAGATTTCTAAAGAGGAAGTATGTGTTGGGGTGTGTTTTCTCCGCTAATATTTGGTGCTAAGCATATATTTTATTTATAGGTACATGACTTAATGTTTGAATACAATCACTTCAATAAATATTATTCACCTCATTAGTGATGAAGACTTTAGAAGAAGACTCCAGGAACAAAGCACACATGATTTGCCAACTTGCGAAGCTTGAATACAAGAATGACATGAGTATGATCGAGCATCTCCACACTTACAAAGGCGAAGTGAATCAGCTTTGTAAGGCTGAGATAAAAATCGATGATAAACTCCAGGCTCTGTTACTCAACATCTCACTGCCAAAAAATTGGGATGCTCTGGTAGTGACACTGAGCTATTCAGCTCACGAAGGAAAACTTACAATGGACGTTGTGAATGACAGCCTCCTGAATGAGGAGTCCAGGAAAAGAGAAAGAGGAATTTCCAACACATCTGAAGCAAACGTTGCTGAGAGCATAAGAGGTACCGACCAGAGAGGAAGAAGTAAGCGTCGAGGTCGTGACGACTGTGACAAGTACAGAGGCCACTCGAGACCTAAATATAAACTAACATGCTTCTATTGTGGGAAGCTCGACCACTAGAAACTTGACTGTCATACTCTAAAGAAAGACCAGCAAAGCGGCAATGTCAAGCCAGACAAGATAGAGTCGTAGAAGAAAGAGGACAAGAGCACCACTGTTGTGGTTATAAATTCTGATATCGAGATCTTCCTCCTTGGTGAGGACAATTTTCTGAATGTAGCTTATGATGATTGTGCCTGGATCATTGATTCAGGTATATTATTCCATGTTACCCCACACAAGAGCTTCTTTTCTTCCTACAGAAGTGGTGACTTTGGTGTTATGAAAATGGGAAACCAAATCACCAACAAGATTGTTGGGGTTGGTGACGTTATCCTTACCACGGACGTTGGATTCAAATTGATATTGAAAGGAGTAAGGCATGTTCTAGACATGCGTCTGAATCTAATCTCGACTGAAAGGCTTGATAATGCTGGATTAGTAAATTCCTTTAGCAATGAAATATGGAAATTGGGCAAAGGTAACTTGGTAGCCGCCCGAGGAAAGAAAGAGGGCGCTATGTATGTGATGCAAGGGAAGTTTAATGGTGGAGAAGCCAATGTTATTCGGGAGGATAAAGCCAGTGTGGAACTGTTGCACAAGAGACTTGGCCACATGAGTGAAAAGGCTTTCAAATTATGAATAAGAAAGGTTTGTTGCCCGGACGGTAAGAATTGATGACCGACAGAATGGACAAATGCTGGAGACCAGGCAAGACGACGAAGGTATATTCTAGACCTCGTCCACACTGACGTTTGCTCCAAGTGGGATAGATCGTTTGGTGGGGCTCAATGTTTTATTTCCTTTATTGATAACCATTCCTGCAAAGTGTGGGTATACTTGCTGAAATCTAAAGACCAGGTTCTTCAAGCTTTCAAGAAATTTCATGATATGGTAGAAAAGGAGATTGGCATAAAGTTGAAAGTAGTCCGATTAGATAACGGGAGAGAATATTGTGGCTTGTTTGATGCCTATTGTCGAGCGACCGGTATAAGACTTGAGAAAACGCCCCCCAAGACTCCTCAGTTGAACGGAGTTTCGACCGGATGAATTGAACCATTGAAGAAAAGGTGTGATGTCTGTTATCACATGTCGAGCTGCCCAAATTATTCTGGGGTGAGGTCGTCCGAAAAGTTGTTGACTTGATCAACTTATCACCATCCTGAACGCTTGAAGGATTCCAGAAGAAGTGTGGAACGGTCAGAAGCAACCTATGATCACTTGAAAGCGTTTGGTTGCCGACCGTTTGTACTTATACCCAAATATAAAAGGGAGAAACTTGATGCCAAAATAAAAGAATGTATATAGACTTATCACCTTGCTTCACCGAGATGTGAGTTTGGATATAGACTTTGGTATCTTGTCAAGAAGAAGCTTGTGAGAAGCAGAGATATGATCTTTCATAAAAACGAAACCATCAAAGACATCCCAAAGCCCAAAGTTCATGTTACTAGTTGGCGTGAAGAGATTTTCCTTTTTGTCTGGGCGGAAACAAGGGGAGAAACAATTACTAATCGGAATGAACAAGAAGATCCTGACCGATCGGGCGGTAGTGAAGAAAATGAAAATGCTAATCGTCATGAAGCTGATGCTGGTCACCGAGAGGAAAATGATATACAAGACAATCAACCTGGCCTACCAAAAAATAAGACATTGGACTAGAGTAAGACGACCATCCACCAGTTACCCACCTGATGAGTATATAATGGTTGCTAAAGAAGGAGAACCACAAAGCTATGAAGAAGCCATGTCAAGTCCTGAACAGAATGAATGGGAAAAAGCTATACCGGCCAAAGGCCAAGATACAAAGCAAGGATTGTGGTGAAATGATGCAATCAGAAGAAAGAAATATATTTTGATGAAGTTTTTTCCCCGGTCGTGAAGATGACTTCAGGCCGATCGGTATTAGCTATGGCAGCCTTAATGGATTTAGAAGTTGAGCTGATGGACGTGAAGACTGAATTTCTTCACAGCAACCTGGAAGATGAAATTTATATGGAACAAGCTGAAGGGTTTTGAGCACTAGAAAAAGAAGACCAAGTTTACCTGTTGAAGTAGAGCCTCTACGGCTTGAAGCAAGCACCTAGGCAGTGGTATAAGAAGTTTGAATCCTTCATGATTGAGCATAAGTTCAAGAAGACTGAGACCGACCATTGCATATTTATGAAGAGGTATGAGGCCAAAGACTTTCTTATTTTACTTTTCTATGTTGATGACATGCTTATTGTAGGGCAAGAAAAAAACAAAGATAGTTGCCCTGAAGAAGGCGTTGAACTCGTCCTTCTCAACAAAGATGATGTGGACGAAGAAGTTTCTTCTTGAACTCGATCATGAACAAGAAAAATATAAGCTGAAATGTGGCAATCAAAGTGTCATTCATATAGTGAAGAACTCAACTTATCACTCCAACACAAAACACATTGATGTGAGGTATCACTAGATCTGAGCGGTGATAGAAGAAAAACAACTTGAACCAGCCAAAATGCATACTGATCGAAATTGGGCAGACATGATGACGAAGTCAGTTGGTACAAGGATATATGAAGATTATTGTCAAGGTGCCGGGTTGCTGAATGCCGAGCGGCTAACCCGATGTATTAAAGTAGGAAGGGGGATATTTGTTGGGGTGTGTTCCTCTTTTAATACTTCGTGGCTAAGCATGCACTTTATTTATGGGTACATGGCTCAATGTCTGAACACAACCACCTCAATAAATGCTACCCATCTAATTATTGACGAAGACTCTAGAAAAAAGTGTAGGGTTTCTCCTCACCTATATAAACAGAGAAAATCTTTTGTGACATAAGTTTTTAAACACTATGAGAGTATGAGAATCCTTTGAAGAGAAGTTTGAGTGTTTGACCTCTTTAGAAAATATCTTTGTAACTACCATTATTGGTGAAGCTTGAGTGTATAGACTCTAGTATGACTAGAGAAGTTTGATCTCTTTATAACCCTACCATTTCATAGTGGAAGAATTTTTGGACTAGTATCCCATGATTTTTACTTCTTTGCCTTAGAGGAGGTTTTTCACGCTAGAATTGGTTGTCTTTCTCTCCATCTTTCGTCTTTTGCATTTATCTATTTTTGCTGCGTTTGAGACCAATTGGTTACTATTATTTGTTTTGTGTTGAGTCACCAATACACTTGAATTGGCGTCCAACTTCTAGTATTGTCGGACGGTAATACTAAATTGCTGAGCGATAAACTTGAACACTTCACATTGTCTAATTGTATGTGTATCAGGCGGTAATTTGCTTCCGTGCGAATTATTTGAGAGACCCCGTTCCAACAGTATGTTGTGCTATGTTCAGTTTTGGGCCTCACAAAGCTCCAGATGAGGAATGAGGATGGCTACCCTGATACAAAATTCTTGGAGCAACCATGATAAATTAGTTATATCTTTCTCTTTTTTTCATTATCCCAATATTCTCAACATAAAGCCGATATTTTGAAAACCGTCTTAATATCAGTTTGATAATGTCGAACCAGATTAAATTGGATTGAATATTCTTGTGATTCTATCCGATTTGAACCTAATTAATCGAGTAATTAATTATCTCATTTCACCTTATCATGCCAACTGCATCCTGGGATGGAACATTCAACATCATACTATATTTGCTGAATAGGTGATTCATTCTATGAAGTATGAACCAAATGAGAAGCAAGAAAGCTATCTTGTCCATCAAAATAGACGTTGACAAAGACTATTATAATATAATAAATTGGGAGTTTCATTAAAGTTTTGTAGAATGATGATAAGTCGATCCAATTCTTCCCCACTAGGGTCATCCACCAACTGAATATTTTATCTCCTAATGTTTTTGTTACCATTATAAGGGTCATACCACCGCTGATAATAAAGTCCAATCCGGGGAATGGAAAACCATGAAAGCTGGTGAGACGGAACCAAATTTTTATTTTTATTTTTTTTAATATAACAATGGTACTGAGATTCAAGATTACTTCAACCCCTCGTAACTAAACCAATTCTAATGGCTTAAAAATTCCTATCTTCTAATTTGCTCCTCCAGACCCCTTTTGCATTCCTAGTAAACTTTCTTATACTTATTTGCTATTTTTGTTGATATCCCCGCACACGTAGACTTGCAATTGAAACTTATTTTTCATTTTGATTTTAGATTGGTCCAGCGAAACTTACAGTATGTTAAATACAAATATCTTTATGTTGAAATAATAGTTTATGTTTTTGCTTGCCATTGTGCAATCAAGACATTCAAAATCTCCCACGTGTTATTACAGAACAACTTTTATAGGATCCCGCGGGCATTGTCTACACTACACAACTTATCCACTGTACAAAAGATAAAACTAGTCCGAGATTCGTCAACTATAAATATTGTAAGTTCATCTTATAGCCAGAGCCCGTTTTATTTTACAAATTTAATCCCAATTAACATGGCTAAAAATTCATCATATCAAATCTTTGAACGCATCCGGTTCACCAAAGTGCAACAGACATCCGCTACAACAATCATCCTAAATTTATCTCTGTATTTATCATCAGATAAGTGCAGAGGGAGTAAGAGGATAGGGCTCAATATTAAACTCAACAAAAACGTAAAGATATGAGACATTTATGAGAATTTTATCAAGCCAATACAGTAGAATTCCTTGATTAAGGGACAAAAGCTAAACTTGTTTCGATTTTCCCTATCCCAAGCTTTGAGTTTCAAGCACAAGCTAATTTTCATCTTATAAAGTTTATTGTGCACACATGCATCAGAAAAAGTACTACTTGTTAGCAACATAAAAATAAAAAGTATTTCATAGAATTGCTTTAATTTTTAGGACCGATGTCCTTCAGGGAAGAAATCTGTTCTTCTCCCATTGCAGACATGACAGAAACAACAAGATCTTTTCCTTCAGCAAATCCATCTTTAATCTAAGTACAAAAGCACGAAATAAATAAATTAATAGGGCACAGAATACACATGTGGCATAAGATCATAACAAAACCAAAAAAAACACATCGACCAAAAAGCAACTTTAAATTTGATTTCAACAACATACCTGAGCAAGCAGCGCCTCATCAGTAGGAAGCTTCAGATCATCCTTGGTATTTCCATTATCAGTCAACAGACTCACCTAAAAGAAACCCGCGCCAATTGGTTAAGAATGCTTTGCTACTGTCAAAATATCTTAATAATCTAACTCTCTTTCTCGCTGTTGACGTGTTTGCTTTCACACTACCAGTTAGTCATAATTTTGCAATCTTTTTATTTTTTAAATTAATCGAGTAGAAGTTTTATTTATTCAACTTGAGAAAAATATCAGGTTGGAAGTGCACCATATGTCATCTTATCTTGAATTATGTACCAAAAAGTCATAGAATTGAATGTAAGGTAGAATTAATGGGAAATATTGGCTTTCCTCATGTCATGAGAATATGCCGTAAGATTATTGTTATCTTCAAAAGCAACCTTTCACAAGGCATAATCTCAGTTTTCAGAACATGGAATCCTCAGCAGACATAAAGAAGGTAACATCCTCCCACAACGTAGTTTCAGACTAATTTCTTTTTGGGAAGGATTATATTTACAAACTTTTTGTTTACAAACTACACTATGTACTCCCGGAAGTACACTAGGTTACACTATGTACTTCCGAGAGTATATAGTGTAATTTGCAAAAATTTGTAAAAATAATTTGTAAAAGAATTCTTCCCCTTTCTCTTTTACTATTTTTCATTTTACAAACTACAACATAATTGCATCCATGACACCTCCAGTGTCCCAAGTCAAAGACAACTTACAAAACCATCTTCAGAGATATCAATCAGTTGATAGTCCGTGCGATTCACATGCGGAACCTGCAAAAAGAGCAATCATGACTGATAAATGCATCACAACCAAATATTACATACACAAATGAATTCGAAGCTGCATTACATCACAGTTGTGGGATGAAGGAACAATATCTTCAAGCTTTTTCCCATTGAAAATATCAATTGCAACAAAGTGGCACTTTGCATGTCCATGCTTGCCTGTTTTTGATGTTGAAACTTCTACAACCTGTGAAGACAAATCGAGAAACAAACAGAGCAAAAAAAACAGATGTTTACATAACTGACTATCTCAAATTATACTAACAAACAGAGGGGACAGTTATTCTTATCATCATTTTAGGCTTACCACTCTTACTACTGTTTGGTTAACATTGGATCAACTTGAAATCAATGGTTGAAAACAAGGGAAAATTAACTGCAGTTGATTTTAAATTGATCTAACAGTAATCAAATAGGTTGTAGGTTGTAAGAGTGGTAAGACTAAAATGATAGTAAGTATATCCTTCCCATAAACAAATAAAGCAGCAAAACAAAAAATCCATTCTCATCATTGTCAAGGAGCTGACACTTCACCAGCAAATACATGTGTGAGAGAGAGATAGAGAAACTGCAAAAGACCCAGCAATTTCTTTTGCTCCACGGGGTATCAATAAATTAATAACAGTACAAATTAAATATACAATAATAACCATAAAAGAATACTTGTTCCTATGGCAAAAAATTTCACAAGACATGCCAATATGAAAGTGGGTCAATGTAAAGGTACAACAGCCATCTTGACAACATTATAAAATTGAAAAGATGGACAAAGCTTTTTATTTCATTTTATATAAAGATTATGTCAAACATGTAATACCATACAAAATTGTAGAATCACACCATGAAACAACAATAAAAATTTTCCATTTAACTCTCCCTCTCCCTCTCCCTCTCCCTCTCTCACACCATAATATCTATCATGCACAAACAATCTCGTATGTGAATTATGTGAGTTGCACGTTAACACAATCAAATCAAAACAAATCATCTCAGGTTCCAAAACAATTCATCTATTATGACAATAAACGTTGCAATCCAAAATACCGAACGAAGGATCGCATAACAAAATCAAAAGATGAATTCAGATATTAAATTGCAACAGAGAGAGAGAGAGAGAGAGAGAGAGAGAGAGAGAGAGAGAAACCTTGCAAGGCCTGGACTTGATGACGATGTAACCATTCTTCCGAATGGTACCAGCTTGCTGAGGGTACGTCTTTGAGGCTCCAGCGTCCGCTTGAGAATCGAAGTGGTGCTCTTCGTCCGACATAATTGATGTTTCTCTCTCTACACTCTCTCTCTCTCTCTCTCTAAACGCAGAAGAAGAACAAGAATAAGAAGAAGGAGAGTGACTCGGTGCTGTGGTCCCTCTGTTTTTATTCCAATTCCCAAACATACGCTCTCTAACGTTAGATCCAATTTTGGCCGTCGGATTGACCGTTCAATTAAACAGACAATACAATATTAAGTATTAACTCTTTACCTAAACCAATTTAATTGACTCTGTTTATCTATTTTTTGTCCAACCAGCACCCAATTGAGAAATGCAATGGGTTGAAACTTGAAAATTGAAAATTGTAGATTGATTGATTGATTGATGATAGAGACAATAAAAACTTATCTAGTATGTTTATCGTTTGGTAAATAGTAAAAACTATTAAAAAATCTAGTTCGTATATAGTATTTTTACACTTTAAATTTATAAAGCTGGTTTTCATCTAATCTTAATATATAAAATCTTCGTTCAAACTTTGACAATTTTATTGACGTGTCGCTCTCTTCTTTATTTTCAGATTTATGTTCACACTTGAAAGAATTTTAAATATTTCTTCTTTTGGAAACTTTTAAAATTCAAATTTTCAAAAATCATGGGTGGGAAAAATAGTACAAATTATGTAGTGGAAGACACATGTATTAATGATCCACTACTTTCTGCATAGGTTATTGTGAGGACTAATAATTGTTGGCAGCTTTGGAAATACGTTTTTTATGGGCGGGAAATGAGTTCAACATTTTTTAGTAACAAATATCTGTATTAATATCTCATTACTTTTTGCATTGGTAAGTGAAAAAGTAATCAAATTCAAAATTTAAACTTAAAGGTGAGAAAAGAGTTCATGATTAATATCTCACTACTTTCTGCATAGTTAATTGTTAACCCTATTAATATCCCACTATTGGGCTTAATTATTAAAAAACAAAATTTTTTGAATATAAATAGGATAAGTGAGGATATTCTAACTACTAAAAATTCTTACTACTAGCTTACTACCCATCACATCACCATAGGATTAAAGAGAGATAATGTTAAAATATTTTGAAGAGAGAGAAAATGTTAATCTAATGGTGATTAGATAGGTAATAAGTTGGTAGTGAAAAATTTTGGTAGTGAGAATATCCTTCCTCAAATAGGATATGTGTTACTGGGTCTTTTCATTTGGTAATTAGCTTTTGTACATATGATTTTTCTTTTCTCTGTCTATTTATCTTCTTCATCTTCTCAAGTTGTTCTTCTATTAGATGAACATGTAATATTTTTTGTTTTTTTGTAGCTCTATTGTAGAGTAAAGCTGACGGGATGATTTAGAATCACTAAAATATGTACTTCTTTACTTCCTCAGAGGAAGGTATGACATTCTTCTCTATATTTTTTTCTTTTACAAGTATTTTTTCCATCACCCAATATTATGAACGAGATGATATAATAAAATGTCTTTACTTTTAAATGACTAAATATTTATGTTTAGCCTTTCTTGTCTATGCTCTTTGGGCACCATCTCAAAATTCAACACAGTAAAAATTTATCTTTTTTTTTTTTTTTTTGATAACAAAAAATTTATCTTTTATGTTAAAGTCCTTATGTTTTCCATCTTTAATGCCGGCAAGAGCAAGATGAGTTTTTCCTTCTATTCTTTTTGTCCATACATAATTTATTTCTCACTATTGTTGTTGTTCTTTAATTTATTTTTGTTCTTGACAGATATGTTTACCATGATGGTGAAAGTGATGAGTTTGATATGAATGATACTACTTCGACCTCATAAAACCATCATCTATTTCTTCAAAGGATGTTCGAAGTGTGCCAGATGCTAGACCAGTTGAACCGAGCAACATAGTTTCAAATGGTGATTTAGAAAAAGACAAGATAGAATAAGCCAGAATGTTGCTCTAATTATATACTTTTGTTACTAGAATGTTGTTCTCACATGTTTGTCATGAAATTGTAAAATTGTCATTATGCATTATGTGTAGGGAACGAGGAGTCAGCATCTCATTATGTTTTTACTTGATGTTTTACTTTTTTACAATAAGCTACATGTCTTTTAATATTCCTAGAACCAATAATTATATAGTTGTTACATGTTTTAGTCTATTCATCATTGAAATCCTCCAAATTTAACTCAACAGAAATGAGGAGCTATTCAAATATTAATTCCTTTGTTTTAATTTTGAAAAATAAGTAGAATTTAATAAAATGAATTTATATTAAAACACATACAAGCGAAAAAAATTCGAAAAAAAATTACGGTTATGTTTTAGGAAACAAGGAGCCATCATGTCATTAAATTTTTTGAGTGTCTTTATTTTTTTTTGCCCATAAGATTGTGCATTAAAATTTTTATATATAAATAAACAGACGTTGTTAAATGGATATTCATGTTAATTAAATTACTGCAATGGAAAAGGACAAGCCACCGATGGATTGTCATCTTAATAAGGTTCCATATACAAAAAGTAATGATGCATAATCATAGTCATAAAAAATGGTTGATTATTATTATTACGATTATGGAAAATCAAGAGTTGCTTTGTTTCGTTTTATATCTACCATTCGTTTTTATCATAATATCCCCTCAAACTTTCCAGATAACTGTATTGGAAAAGTAATTAGATGTCTTAATTAAAAATATTAACTAATTAAAATGGAACATTATTTAGCAGAACAATTTTTTTTTTAAATAAAGAAATATAGGAATGCAATTAGGTCAGACATAGCAGCCTAAAATATATTTTAATATTTTAAATAATTCTTCTTTTGGGAATTATATGGCTTAATTGAGCAATGTAATTAGGCATTGGAGAGATCTACTTTAAATGCTCGTATTGGAAATATGAACCAAAAGAGAAATTGGTGGCTCTCCAATTCCAAAATATAATACAGGTATATGAATTTTTTTGTCTTCCAAAAAATTCATCATAAATAGCGTTGAAACCAACTTCATATAAAAACAAAAATGAAAATTCCAGAAGGCAACAATTTTTTTTAAAAAAAAAACCAATTCCTAAATATAATAAAAGAAAAAAAAAAAGCATACAAGTAATTTTTTTTAAAAAGTTTAAGATATACGTTTTAAATATTTGAAATTTATAAATAAAAAAATTATAAATTAAAAGCATTTTTCTTCTCAAACATAAAATGCTCTATCGATTTAAGAAAAGTATAGTTATAAATTCAATAATATTTCAAAGTACTCGGAAAAGTAAAAGTTAAAATTTAAAGATAGTGAAACAATATTGAGTGCAAAAAAACCAATATTTTATGTACAACTATTTTTTTTAAAAAAATTAACATAAAATTTTTAAATATATATGTATAACCAATATAAAAAATTGGACATAAATATTTTAAAAATATATGTATAACCAATATAAAAATTTAAAAAACAAACATTTTAAAAAAACATGTATAATTAATACAAAATATTTTAAATTTTAAATTTAAATAAAAGAATGACATCTATCATTCTGTAAAAAATAAACTATAAAAATATAATCACTGAAAAATGAATGATAATTCAATAAACAGTGATCATCCAACTCTTGTATCATATAAAAATATCTGTCATTAAGTATTTTACAAACAATTTTAATGTTTCTCATTACTTTCTATATGAAAAATTGTTAAGCCTATTAAAAATATTTTTTTATAGATAGCCTATTTATAATATTTCTTATTATATCTATTAGGTGGGAAAATATTTAATAGGACTAATTTATATTTTTTGAATTTAATTTTGAACTTTATAAGTGAGAAAAAAGTTCAGCATGTAATATTTTTGAAGTGGAAAAAAAGATATATATATATATATATATATATATATATATATATAAAGTTAAATTTAATATAAAATTATAGATTAAACAAAAAAATTATAAAAATATAGTCGTTAAAAACAATTCAAAATTGAAAATTAAAAGAAAAAATAAGAAGTGACATATTTATATTTTAAAAGAAAAATAAAATAAAAAATTAACTTAAAAAAAAAACAAACATTAAAAAGATTTCCGTACAAGTATTTTTAAATTTTTATTAACATAAAGGTTTTAAATATATATGTATAACCAATATAGAAAAGATAAAAACGATAAAATAATTTAATTTTTCAAAAAATATGTATTTTTAATACAAAAGAATTTAAATTTTAAAATTTAAACTTTAATAATAAGAATGACATCTATCATTCTGAAGAAAATAAATTATAATTTTAATTATTATAAAAAAAATGACCATTCAGTGAGCAGTGACCATCTAACTCATGGTAAAAATATATTTGCTATGAAGTATTTAATATTTAAATTTTAAACTTTTCAAATTTAAATTTTAAAAATTTAAGGCTGAATTTTTTTTTTCAACATTTAATGTTTCAGCGGTGGGAAAAAAGATATACATACAAAATTTAAATTAATATAAAATTATAGATTAAAAAAAATTGAAATAATAAAATATATCTATAGCTGATAAAAAATAATTTAAATGTAGAAAAATAAGAAATGACATACTTATACTTTAAAAGAAAATAAATTAAAAATTTTAATTTAAAAAATAATACAAAAAGAGAACTTTTTTTCGTACAATTATTTTTTTAAAAACATATTTAACATAAACGTTTTAAATATATATGAATAACAAATTTAAAAAATATAAAAAATGATAAATAAGTATAATCAAAAAATTGAATATATATACTTAAAATCAAATTAAAATTTCACTTATACTTATATTTAATTATTTTAAATTATATGTGACTTCAAAATATAAAAAAAAGCATAACTTATTATTTTTAAAGGTTCTTTTTTTTTTCTGCAACAACCGTAGATAACTTATTTGTATTAATCCTAAAATGACGTTATTTTTAGGCTGAAATTAATGTATTTTTAATTTTAATTTATTACAGGGTTATAATAGTATTTATCATTATAACTTTTTAATCTTTCAATAGAGAACGATGTCGTTTTGGGAGAGAATGCAGATAACTTATCTGCAATCACTGTAGAAATATTTTTCTCTATTTTTAAATATACAAACCTATCATATGATAATATAAAATATTGAT